ACTTCATCCTCAAGGTCACCGTGTAAAAAAGCATTCTTAATGTCCAGCTGATAGAGGGGCCAATGGAGAACAGCAGCCATGGATAGAAAAAGGCGGACTGATGCTATCTTAGCCACGGGAGAGAAGGTATCACTGTAATCGAGCCCAAATATCTGAGTATATCCCTTGGCAACAAGACGAGCCTTAAGACGATCAACCTCCGGACCAACCTTGACTGCATACACCCAATGAAAACCAACAGTAGATTTACCTGAAGGAAAAGGGACGAGCTCCCAAGTACCACTCGTATGTAAAGCAGACATCTCGTAAACCATAGCCTGTCGCCATCCTGGATGAGACAATGCTTCACCTGTAGACTTAGGGATGGAAACAGAGGACAAAGAAGATAGAAAAGCATAATAGGGTGATGACAAACGATGATAACTCAAACCGACATAATGGGGATTAGGATTAAGGGTGGTCCGTATACCTTTCCGAAGTGCAATCGGTGTGCTAGGAAGAGACAAGTCCGCAGTAGGAGCAGGGTCAGGTGCAGGACGTGAATCAGCTGGGCCTGATGCTGGGTGCGGATGACGATGATATGTCAAGAGTGGTGTTCCTGTGACAGGGAGTCTAGGAGGAGCCACACTAGACTCCTCAACGGTTGGAATGGGTAAGACTTCTGTAGCGGAAGGTGAAGGAGGAGCTATAGTAGACTCCTTAAAGGTCGGTATAGGTAAGACCTTAGATATATCAAGGTGGTCAGAATGGTCAGAAGAGGTAAAGAAAGGTTTAGACTCCAAAAATGTGACGTCAGAGGACATAAAGTACCTACGAAGATCAGGTGAGTAACAACAATATCCCTTCTGAACACGAGAATAACCAAGGAAGACACACTTGAGAGCACGAGGAGCTAACTTATCTTTCCCAGGGGCTAAGTTATGAACGAAACAAGTGCTCCCAAAAACACGAGGGGGAACAGAGTATAAGGGTGATTGGGGAAACAATACTGTATACGGTATCTGATTCTGGATAGGAGAGGAAGGCATCCGATTAACTAAATAACAAGCTGTGAGAACTGCATCGCCCCAAAAATGCAACGGAACATGAGATTCAATGAGAAGTGTGCGAGCAGTCTCAATGATGTGCCTATTCTTTCTCTCTGCAACCCCATTTTGCTGAGGGGTATAAGGACAAGAGGTCTGATGAATAATTCCTTGAGAAGTCATAATTTGCTGAAATTGAGAGGATAAATATTCTAAGGCATTACCACTGCGGAAAGTGCGAATAGAAACACCAAATTGATTTTTTATTTCAGCACAAAAATTCTGGAATATAGAAAACAACTCAGAACGATCTTTCATTAAGAAAATCCAAGTACATCTTGAATGATCATCAATGAAACTAACAAAATAACGAAATCCCAAGGTTGAACTGACTCTACTAGGACCCCATATATCAGAATGAACTAAAGAAAAAACAGACTCTGCATGACTCTCAATACTACGAGGAAAGGAAGCTCGGGTATGTTTCCCGAGCTGACACGACTCACACTCTAATGTAGATAAACTAGACAAACTAGGCACCATCTTCTGAAGCTTGGATAAGCTTGGATGTCCTAAACGTTTGTGAATATGGTCCGGAGGATCTGTAACTAGACATGCCTTGGAGGAATTGAGTAAGTTAAGGTAGTAAAGGCCTTCTGATTCAAGTCCTGTTCCAATCGTCTGCCCCGTACTGCGGTCCTGCATAATAAAGGAATCATCAATAAAATATATACCACAATGGAGGGCACGAGTCAAACGAATAACAGATGCAAGATTAAAAGGACAGCCAGGGACATAGAGAACGGAATCTAGAGTGACAGAGGGTAGGGGATTCGCTTGTCCAACTCCTTTTGTTTTGGTTTGAGACCCATTGGCTAAAGTAACAGTGGGAAGAGACTGTGAATACGCAATATTTGACAAAAGTGATTTATTACCAGAGATATGATCAGAAGCGGCTGAGTCCATAACCCATTGTCCAAGAGTACTAGACTGGGAAATACAAGCAAAAGAATTACCAGCAACAAAAGTATCAGTCTGAGAGGCTACTTGTGGAGATGTCTGCTTACTTGCTCGATACAGAAGGAACTCATTATACTCCCCTTCATATAAAGAAAATCCCTGGTTACCTGTAGTCTTAGTCTGAGCAACATAAGCATTTTTGGGTGGGCGACCATGTAAAGAATAGCACACGTCACGAGTGTGTCCAAGTTTATGACAATAAGAGCACTTGGGTCTAGATCTTCCAAAACGACCTCCTCCTCGTCTATTCTCCATAGTATGAGATGCCCGATTGTCCACTGATTGGGATACGAGGACAGATGAGTCAAGTGTCTCTGATGAGCTCACTGGGTGACTTGGTGCTGCGGCAAGGCGAAGTAATCGAGAGAATAATTCATCAACTGTGGGGACAGTCGGACTAGCCAAAATCTGGTCACGTACTGAATCAAGGTCATTAGGGTGTCCAACGAGTGTAAGAACTAGAAACATCTTCTGTCGTTGCTCTTGTTGCTTTTCAATACTAGCAGAAACTGGCATCAACGTCTCAAATTCTTCCATGACTACCTGTACTTGTCCCAAGTAAGTAGACATATCCAATTCATGTTCCTTCAAGCTTGTCATTTGCGATATTACATCATAGAATCGAGATATGTCATTAGTGTATAAATTACAAGCCTTTTCCCAAACTATATAGCATGTTTGGAATGGACGGAACAAGGGCATCAACATGGAATCAAGGGCTCTGATACCATGATAAGAATGGACCTTGGGCCTAACTCAACCCCAAAAGCTAGCTTATGAGCTGAGGATTGCCCAAGCCATATAAGGAGACCAAGCACCTCAAATCCCTCCGATGTGGGATAACTCAACACCCCCCTCACGCCCAGGCCTCTGGAGCGTGGACAACATAAATGGGGGCCCAACATCGGTAACAATAATTGGGATGGACCTGGCTCTGATACCATGTGAGAAAGCACGGGAGAAAATATTATTGATATTATTGACATGTGTTAAACACAATACAATGAGCCCTATATATATATATATATATATATATATATATATATATATATATATATATATATATATATATATATATATATATATGTCCTACTCCTAATACATATTGGATTAGGGTTATTTACTCCTATTTACATAATTATTTAACAGTCGGTTTTTTATTTTTTTGGGGAAAATATTGGGAAACTTACATTTATGCATTGGGATTAATTTCTTTAGCGATAATTGATGTTATTAAGTTAACTATGACTAGATACGAGTGGATTGGAGGTGGATCTAAAGGAAAAGCGGTAATTGAGCTTAGAATTGGCCGTTGAATTGTGGTAAGTATTGTGTCAAACTTTGACTTGAGGGATTAGGGATCCCCGACGTAATTGCTATGTGAAAATCCACGTGTGTGGCGTATAGGTGAGGTGACGAGTACCTATGCGCCGCCAAATTATCTGTTTAGTATGTTCCCTTCCCCGTTCCTAATGTATTGTTTTCCTGTCTTAACTGCTACATGCTTATTTGTGCTTCCATGTCTTGCTTCTTGTTAAATGTTGTTTTCTTCATTGAAGGTAGTAACTATTCCGTAGTTTCATTGTGTTACATTATTGGTTTAAGTTGGTTTATCGGTATTTCATGGTACATTTTGGTTGGTCTCGCTGTGTAGTATTAATTGATGAAGTTTTCATAATTGTATAGACCTCCGTTTGCTTTGGTTTGAGGCATAAATGTTGTGGAGGGTTTTGAGCTAAATTGTGAAATACTTGTTCTTACTGTGTGATTGGTACTAATATGGTAGGATCGGGTTGCACCTCGCAACAGGAGGAATAAGGGTGATATGTTGAGGAGGAATAAGGGTGAAATGTGATTGTCTGGTGGGATCGGGTTGCGCGCCGCAACATGAGTAATTAGGGCGGACAGGTGGGATCGGGTTGCACGTCGCAACAGGAGGAATAAGGGTGATATATTGAGGAGTAATAAGGGTGGACAAGTGGGATCTGGTTGCACGCTGCAACAGGAGCAATAAGGGTGAATGTTCCTATTGTTACTGATTATATGGTGGAATCGGGATGCGCGCCGCATCATTTTATTGTTTATGCATTTTTCTTCTGATGTGATTCTACTCAGTAGTATCATAATTCTCTTAAGGATTGGTTATAGCTGAGTACTGGCAAGATACTTGAGTTCCGTATTTATTTCACTACAAGTACTGTTTCACTTCGTTCCGTACTTCCTTTCTTTTTTGCTTTATTATATACTGTATGCAGGTTATGTTGTAAATGCCCCGCCGTAGCCTCGTTACTACCTCGTCGAGGTTAGGCTCGGCACTTACCAGTACATGGGGTCGGTTGTACTAATACTGCACTCTGGACATTCTGTGTAGATTTTGGAGCTGGTTGTGGCTGATCGATAGGTCGGTTGCAGGCGTTCATCTAGGAGACCCAAGGTAGTCCTGCAGGCGTCCGCAGGCCCTGGCGTCCCCTCCTATGTTCTACATTTCTGTTTTATTTCCTTTTTAGACAGATGTATTTTTCTTTTAGACCCATACTTGTAGATATTCATAGAATGTTCGTGGATTGTGACACCAGTTTCTGGGTGGTAACTGTTTTTGTATTGTTATTAGTATGAGGATGATAGGTTAATTATGTACTTCCGCATTTACTTCCGTTTGATTTAGCTTTGTTAGTTTTAACTATAAAATGTAAAGCAAAAAGGTAAATAGAACTCTAACATTGGCTTGCCTAGCGAGTGCGATGTTAGGCGCCATCACAGTCCTAACGGTGAAAAATTCGGGTGGTGACAATTCTAAAAGCAATTAAAACAAGTACTACTAATTCTTTCTCAAAACAAAACAAAAGAAAATACAAACAAAAAAAATAAACAACTCGCTCAAGGCTACTCACACTTCAGTTTCCATTTATGCAGGATAGACACGTGTCAGTTACCAGCGAATATCTTGACGAGCAGGTGAAGAACCTCGAAAGCAGAAGATTCAAAACCCACCTGAAATCATCCCCCCTATATGCTCTATATACACAGCCACACATTTGCAGTTTGAAGTTGGAAAAAATGAAGAAAAAAATGGAGAGAGATGGTGAAGGAACAGTGAGCTCACCGACGCAGAGGGTTAGCGATGGTCGTTCAATTTCACCTACTAGAGTCCGACCCGGACCAGACCCATTCCTAGTGACTTGTAGATTATTCAGCTTTGTTACTGCGTTAGCCGCTATTCTCTGCATTGCTGTTAATGTTTACTCAGCCGTAAGATCTTTTAAGAATGGCTATGACGTAAGTCCTCTTCCCATGTATTTGTGCTAATCTATCTGTGTATTGTGTGAATATTTATGTAAATGCGATAATTTTGGAAAATGCACTAGGTATTTGATGGAACTTTCCGCTGTTACGCGGTGGTGATTGCGATTATTGTGGTTGTTGCTGAGACAGAGTGGGGATTTTTCATCAAGTTCTGGAAGGTTTGTGTGATGTCCTAGTTTTTCTTATGATATTTGCTCACATTATGACCAATTAAACATATGTTTGCGTATCGGACGTTGTAAATTCGAACTGTTCCAACTTCAGTGCCGCTATTAGTATGTGTTTGCATTTGTTCATGTTTATTCACAAAATCAAAGCTGTAATGATTCAAGAAATGATACTACATGCTGCAGGAAGCTGTAATTATGTTGCAATGCAGCTTTGCTAAAATCAATGGATGCATTTCTAATAATACAGACAACTGAATGATCAAAAGAGTTATGTCATAATTGTGAAAATAAATCATCATATAGTAATAGTAGGGAGCCACCCAACCATGAGGATGGCACAGGCTATAAGCAATGGTACCTTGTTCAGTTTGCAAGAGAAAAAGGAGAAAAAAAACTTATACAATGAACATAAGTACTTTCAGTTTGCTCTTTTTCTCCAAAGGTTGAGAGAAATCTGCTAACTATGTTCTATTGTTAGGACTATTCTGTAAGTAATCAGAAAGATTAACTTTTTCCGGATTAAGTTTTTCTTGATTTGATCTTGAACTGGTCATAAGCATCATCCTATTTTCCATAATCTAATTCTCGTTTGACTCGTAGTTATACAGAGGCCCAGTTTCCCATCCTGACACATAGTTAGCAAACATAAGGTTATAAGACTATCCCTTCCTTGCCGCATCGTTGAGCTTCCTTTCTGGAAATTAAATTTGGGACTAGGAATACAAATCTGTTTCGCTTGATTCAACCTAACCATGAAGTCAAACGACCAAGAGGACAAAATGAGATCTCAAAGATTACATTGATAGTATGACCTATAATTATAAAAAGAATAGATTGATAATCCTTTATTGGGGTAAGTTGAGTTTATGATTTGACTGGGATTTATTAAGCAATAATGTCAGTTGGAGACTTGTAGTTTATCTAGCACAAGAAAGGATAGCTAAGAATTGTAAACCCCACACATTGTTTAGAGATTGGGAAGTTTAATGATGAATGCAGTTTGGCCTTTTGGGCTGTATAATGTTGGAAATCCAATCCTGTTGTTTATTCAGATAGATATATGAACAGTATTAATATTTAAGGGCTGAATACATATGCAGGCCCTTAAACTTTTCATTTAGACAGCTATACTTGGTCTTGTTCCAATTGGAAACTTGAACTCTGCTGAAAGTGTACCTATCAGACACAACTCGCTGACATGGCACATATCGTGAGATACACAGTATTTGAGCCCGTGAAATTGCTCTATGTTAAACTACAACAAATTTTTTTGCCGGAAAATATAAGATTTCACCGGAAAAATCAGCTTTTCAGCCATGTTGGTTCTGCTTCGCCTCCAATTCTTCTGAACTTGTTATCGCTGCCACTTCTTTTCAGCTATAGATTCAAACTCTCCTCCTCATGCCGTTCTCAAACTCATTTTTAGCCATTTTTATCATCAGCTCGTTCGGAACTGGTTCTGCAACTTTTTTTGAGCCATTTTCAAATTCATACCACGAATTGGTCCTCCCATCTTCGAAAAAGTAATTTTCTTTTCAGAATCTTTATATAGAGAAAAGTTTTTAATGATACAACTTAGAATATTTATTTTAAAGGATTTGAACAATTTGTATGATGGAGTATTAGGGCATACACTGCTTTTCTCTTTTGATTGTTGAGGAGAGAGATGTTGATGCCGCCGGAAACATTCTACGGCCAACGAAATCGAATGTGGCGTTGTTGGAAACAATACTTCAATGGAAAACCACTTTCTTTTCAAAGTAAAATGTTCACATGGTGGAATCATATCGTCGGATATTTGAATCTCTTTGCTGGAATCTTTTTTCCCGTCAACATCTTCTCTTACTCTTTTCTTTTAGATATTGACTTTTACTTTTGCTGACATGTCCTTTCCTTATTGGTTTTGTTTACAATGTCAACAGCAAGTGATCATCACGCAGCAGATTTGATTTAAAATTATCATATTTGTGTTCAATAGACATACTTTTAGCATAGTTTAGTTGTTCAATTGGAACATGTCTTAGTGTAAGTGTCTAAATGAAAAATTCGGACAAGTTTAAGGGCCCACACATGTATTCTGCCATATTTAGGAGAAACATGGCATGAAAATAAGCAGTACTAGGATGTACTAACCATGACCAAAATATCCTTGGTTGACCAGCAATTAGCAGTTACTTTAGATGCAATTGTTTGTCTTGCTGTAGCAAAAGAGGTGTTCTTCCCCCCTTTCAATTTCTGTCCTTTTAACGCTCAAAGTCATTCTTTGCCTTATTCCATCACAATTAAGCATTCAGTCACTGGTATTATGGCATCTTTATAGTCTTACATTAAATTTAATAAGATATTACTTTATTATTTTAACGTTCCAGCAGTTTTACTTCTCATAGAACAACTGGAAAGGTTCCATATATTCTTAGGTGCAAAATTCTAATAATTATATGCTTTCTTTTTTTGATGAAATAAATTGTTGTATTAAAGGCATCAAGAAGATGCAAGAGTACAAGGAGCTACTTACAAGAAGCAGATATATAGAAGTAACAAAAGTGAGTTGCTAGCCCCTATACAATGTCTCAATCTAGGACAAGAGAGCTAATAAACTCCAAAAAGTGCTCAGTACTAACTATTGGGGACAACTTTGTCCAGCTAAAAAGATTGGTTAAGCATTTGGCTCTAAGAGAGTGGTTTAGAGTTGAGATGCCATCAAAACATCTTTTGTTTCTCTCATTCCATAGACACTAAAAAATAACTGCTGGGATCATAATCCAGATCTTTTTGATGGACTTATCAACTTGCCAAAGACTCCAACTCCAGTACGCGTCTCTCAGATTCTGTGGCATGACCCAATTTAACCCAAAAATACAATGGAACATGCTCCATATGTCAATGGCTACTGGACAGTGCAGGAAGAGGTGACTGATAGATTCACGGCTCCTCCTGCATAGATAACATCTATGTGGTGCGCCATTATATGCTTTCTATGTGGTATGCAGTGACTTTCTTATTTTATTGAACAGACAGTGACTTTGTTATTATAATATGCTTTCTTTGCTTGCACATTTTGACCCAATACATTTCACAATAAATTAGAGCACAGATAGTACTGATATGACCTTTCAATGACCTCGTGTAGGTGTTGGAGTTTTCAGCAGGAAGGGGCATGCTACAGATCTTGTAAGTAAGACTTTAGGCCTGCTAAATTGTTGAAATCAGGCTTAACAAAATAGTTGTTTTGTGGGGCGGATCTCACATTCTCCTCTTTCTGGGTTTGTTCTAGTGTTGCCGTGATGACCAGAGCTTACCCTGAAGATTATGGGCATAGGAATGATCTCATTCTTGTCCGGAACATAGCTAGCTACTTGCTTCTTACCTGTGGTGCCATTTACATTATATCAGTAAGTTCACAAAACCATCAGGCTGCTACATGGCAATGACTTGTCTGCTAGGGTCCATACTGCTGTAGCTTGTAGTTGATAATTGATATGACACAATACCTCAGAGTATGACGTGCCCAGCCTTGCTTCTTTGATTCCCACTCACCTCCCATAGAGGCGGATAAATGTCAATATCATTAGGAGATTGTCTTTAGCTTCAGACAGGAGAATTCGTTTCAAGAATGCAAGCAGTGAGCACCTGTTAGGCTATCGGAAGCTATGCTAACTAATATTCATCTAGTGGTCTTAAGCATCATTTATTTGCATGTCCAAGTAAATCTTTAAGTGTGTTTACTTGGCCTCCATGACATATATTGTGCTGTTAAAGATTACAGCTTGTTGTTTGAGCATCTTCAATCTGTAGCATTGCTTTTAACTTCAATTATGTCATATCTAAGCATGTTCTGGCTACATACCTGCTATTAGAGTCCATCTTGTTGAGTCCTTTTGGGGTAGCATATGATGCATTATACTTGGATGCATTAGACTTTTACTTATGTTTTTTCTTGACTTATGTTACTTTTAGGGAATATTGTGCTTTGGCTTTATCAAACGTGCTCGCCAGGCGAAAGAAGTCTCCAGGGAGCAAGCCATTAAGGATCTGCAGGTAATCCACAAAGTCACGTATTTAACCCTCTTGTCAATTTGGAAGCGTACCTTGAGCCGTACACCAGAGTGAGAGTCAGATATCTGATCCTTCTCCAGGCCTTGCATGGGTCTTGCTCTCTAAATTTGTTCTTATTTTCGTGTTCTCTGGTTTTTTGCTGCTGTCACTCATCTTAATTGTCTCCAAAGAGTATCTAAATCAGACCTTCCAAAATATTCAGCCCTTAAAACCCTAGGATCACCGACTCTGCATCACATACTTTAGTTAAAACAAATTACAATGCAGATTCTAGTACAACATAACAGTTATCATTTAGAAACAATATTACTAGAGAAAAGATAGGGAGAGAGCCAGATTAGTCATGAACCTTGTTGTTGTAACCATATATAGATTAAGCTTACAACTGGATGAAAGTGGATTTGGTTCAGCGATTTTCTGTAGTAAAAGAAAAATGGTATATACTTGAAGTCAGCCAATTTTTCAAACATTGCCTACTGTGTGATATCACTAGAGTAAGTAGGAACTATAATGTTTCTTGACCAGAGGCGGAGCCAAGATTTGAAGTTTATGTGTTCTGAACTTGCCACCGAATCATAGCTCATCTTAGTTACTGGTTCACAATAAAATATTAATGCATATTTAAAGGATTTCCAGGATTTCCTATGCAAATACAGGATCTAAGCAAAAGCTACTTTGTTTGGTCGAACCTATACCTGGTACTCTAGCTCCTCCCTTGCTTGATCTACTCCTATTACCCTAGTGGTGACATTGGCACAGCTGTTTATTTCCTTTTCACCATTCTTGAAATCATATTAATAATCGCAATCCCCAGGATTTGGAGCGTCAAAGAGAAGAGCTTGAAGCATTGTTGATACAAGAGAGGGCTTGATAACATGGAGCTGAGATTATGGCAACAGCAAACCCAACATTCGAAGTTGAGGAGAAAACTTGTAAAGTAAAGCTAAGGTCAAATCAAGAAATTTTATGTTGTGTGTGTTTTACATGCTATGTTTCCAATTTGAGATTGAAAATTTTCTCTGATCTATGTATTGCAGATCTGTACAGTTATATAGACCACTTTCCTCATGGCAACTACTGTTATAGACCAGTTGTCTATTCCTTGTTAGTTTTTGAATTTAGACAGTTAAATCTAAGAAGCAGCGCCTGCTCATATTGTTTAAGTGTTAGAGCAGGACAATATACTCAACTATTTATTCAGTAGCCTTTACAAGATAGCTTTTTAATGGTGTTTGACTCGTTTTCTACTCAGCTGTTTACTTTAGGAGTCGGACGATTACATGTCTTTTGTAGTTTTTTTTTTAAAAATATTTTTGACTTCAAAACTTGTGTTTTATATATTTTAAGTTTTATTCGAAGAATTATGAAATCCATGATCAAATGAACATATGCCAGAGTCTCGTACTGTTCCGCCAGTTACATTCCTTTTTTTTAACTCAGAATAAAAGTAGATTTCTAAAGTATTAGAGTTAATACCCTAAAATCCCCTAAACTATCACATTTTTGTCGGTTTACTAAATCTATTCGGTAATCCCCCCGAACTATATCTCTTTAGTTATTAAAAGTCCCTAGTTAATTTTTTGGCAAAATTAGTGAAATAACTCGTCTAAAGGCGCGTGGAAGATAAAATTATCCATAAAACGGCACCACCTGGCATACTTCTAACGGCTAATTAGTGTTAAGATATTCAATTTCTTTTTCCTTTCTATTTTCTTTTTATTCCAGATTTTTTTCTTTATTTTTCACCTTTTCTATTTTTTTCCTTTCTTCTTCCTTTCTCCTTATGGGTTCCATTTGAAACTTTTCTCTTCTCTTATTTCTTCTGAAATTATCTTTCTTCTTCATGTTTTCTTTATTTATTTCTCTATAACTTTTCTTTCCTGTCAAACCCTAGTTTCTTCTTAAAATCCCAAATCTTTGACTAAACAAAAAATATCTGTGAAATCGAAGGTTAGTGTGAAAAAAAAAGGTTGAATTGACGTTTAATGGTGAAAATCCAGATTGATAGAAGGGGTAACCATTGTTGGAGGTGATGGAAGAATAAAGGCTTTTACCATTTCTTATTTTTGATCATTAGTTCAAATCATTAATTAAAATAATAATTAAATTATGCTTAACTAAGTAGTCATGTGTTGTAAACTCACAGTTTAAAGTTAATTAGGAGTGTGCATCATACACAACTGAAAAAAATCGACGAAGGAGTTTTTAGTAACTAGGGGATATAGTTCAAGGGTATTTTAGGTACACTGGATAGTTTAGGAAGGAAACTGACAAAAACATAATAGTTTAGAGTGGTTTTAGGGTATTAACTCAAAGTATTAATACTTGGTTATCATATATAAGAAACTTATCTCACTGTCACTCGCATTTATTCGTAAAAATTGCATGGGGCGCCCTATTTGGTCGCCCCTTTTTAACCTGTACTCGCTTTGTTTTTTTGTTAGTATCTATAGCCGTTTTTTTTTGTTAAAAGCTTTTTAAAAAGACGATTTTGCCCTTATTTAGTAAAAGACTATTTTCTTTCCATGTATACGGTATTTTATCTATTCTCTCTCTCTCTCTCTCTCTCTCTCTCTCTCTCTCTCTCTTTCTCTCTCTCTCTCTCTCTCCCCGCTTCTTCGCGTTTTTGATTTCTTCTTCTCTGAAATCGAACGATTTTCGTCATTGCATTCTTCTTGATTTTGCAACTGTTTGTTCCCCAACAACATTACGTATAATCACAGGTACGATTTTAATGGTTGCTTTTATACATTGCATTAACTTTGTATGGGGTTTTATTTTAGTATTATTTTTATGATTTAATTTCTGGGTATGCTTTTTTTATTTGTGGTAAAATAGTTTCCTAGGGTTTACTTTGATTCGTGCATTACTTTTGTAGGTTTTACTTTTACGATTGTGTTTTTAGGTTTTTAGAAACTCCGTTTGCGTTTTTGATGAAAATTCTATATATTCTTCAGTGATTTTTGGAGATGTTGAAATTTTTGAGAGTTAAGTAGATGATACTATTAAAGTGTGAAGTTTATAATACTTCAAGGAGAACTTAATTCTAGGAGCAGAAGCTTTATTTTGTGTTTTGCATAAGTAAAGTATGTTTTGTTTGCAGTTTTTGTTATTTTTTTGATGAACTTCAGCATTATTGGAGTTGAATTTGCGTTCCGCATTTGTAAAAACTACAGCATATTTTGGCTGAAGCTTTTGTTTTGTAATGGCTGAACTTCAGTATTCTTTGGAGCTGAAGTTTTGTTCTGTATTTGCTGAACTTCAGCATTCTTAGAGCTGAAAGATGGCTTTAAAATATAACTTAAGCCAAATTGTGTTGAAGTTTTAACTGATTTTTTTGATAATGTTTTAAAGTTACTTTTCCTACCTTTAATTTGTTTTTGAACAGATGGCATCTACGAAATCCAAATCCTCTAAAGATCCTAAAGCACCTAAAGCACTTAGAATATGCAAAGGTCCTTCAGTCCCTATTGCTCTACCTACAAAACCAGGGGAGAGATATTATGAGTTTTGAGATTGTTTTAATTGTCGTGCTTACTAGAAAAGAAACCACGATTTGAAGAGTTTAATTGCAACTTTCTTGACTCCTGCACAACAAGATAAGCCGAATAATGGTACATTTCGATATATTATGGCGATGGAGAATTTCCATTGCAGCATGAAGTTGGTTCATTGTTTGATTCTTTCTCGCGTATTCACCAATGATCGAGACTCCATTAGTTTCAAGATTTTTGGCCATGATGTGTCGTTCAACCTTGAAGACTTTCACATTATATGCGGTTTGAGGATCACATCACATAATGTTGAAAAACCAATTAAACGACAGAGCAAGATTCTGAAGCGGTATTCTAGGAAGTCTAAGGGTGTGACCTTGAAGGACATTTGAGAGTATATGACCCTGAATAAAATTGAAAAGGATGATGTGAATTTCAAACACGTATGCGAGAGTGATGAAGATGCTGTGAATCTTATGGAAATTCTTGTTGTGGAGCCTATCTTGTTTGGAAGAAAGAATGAATCAACTGTGTTGGAAGAGTATGCAGCTATTGTTGAAGACGATAAAGCTTGTGCTGATTATCCTTGGGGTAATGCATCTTGTGAGAAGCTCATTACCTCAATGAAACATGCTTTGGCCAACAAGGACAAAAATAATCCAACTGAGTATACTGTAGGTGGATTTCCATATCCATTATGTGTTTGGTTCTATGAGCGCTTCCCAGATATTCGGGAAAAATATTTAAAAGAGGACGACTTCCTTGATGCCCCTCAGGTTCCCAAGATGTTACGTTATGTATCTTTGGGAGAGCCTAAATTTAAAGAACTTCATGAAGATTACTTCAGTAATCATAGTGTAAGTTAATGTTCTTTATTTTTCCTTTTCTTTTGTAGTTTTGTTAATATGTTGACGTATTAGTTTTGTTTTATTTTTCATAATATACCTTTTTGTATTAAACAGAAATATCGGACATTTAGGATATTGGATATAATTCCTACCGAAGAAGAATTGAATTCAATACCTTTAATTGGACAATTACCATGCAACCGCATTCATTCAAAGGTACTGAATCGGGTTCCTTCAACTAGTGAATCACCACTTAGTCGGAGTCGATCAAAAGAAACCAATCGAACTCCTGTAATTGGAGAATCACCTCGTACCCAGAGTCGTTCTAACCGTTCTACAACGGTGTTTGATAATGAATTAGTCAACACAATATGTCACGTAAGTTTTTAGCTGAAGTTTTTTGTTCTGTGTTTTGTAAAACTACAACATATTTTAGCTGAAGTTTTTGTTCTATTTTGTGATGAACTTCAGCATTCTAGTAGCTGAAGTTGTGTTCTATTTTTGCTGAACTTCAGCATTGTTTTGTGTTTTGTAAAACTACAACATGTTTTAGCTGAAGTTTTTGTTCTGTTTGTGATGAACTTCAGTATTCTAGTAGCTGAAGTTGTGTTTTGTATTTGCTGAACTTCAGCATTGTTCAGTGTTTTGTAAAACTACAGCATGTTTTAGCTGAAGTTTTTGTTCTGTTTGTGATGAACTTCAATGTTATAGTAGCTGAAGTTGTGTTCTGTATTTGCTGAACTTCATCATTCTTAGACGTGAAGTTTTGTTTTGTGTCTCTATATTCTGAAATTATTGTGATGTTTCTATTTCTATACTAGAGGGTAACGAGGGAGGTTAAAAGACATGCAGAAGAAGAAATGTGCATGATCGTGAAAAAAGTTGTTGAGGAGTCTCTTCGGGATGAGCGATCTGCTATTGTGGATGAGGTTTTGAAAAAAAGTCAAGGTAATCTTATTTATAGAGAAGTCTTTTTTTTCCTACTAATGTTATTCAGATTAATCATTGTTAGTAATAGGAATATTTTGAAGAGAAGTTTGAGAAGTTGTTCAAGATTATCGACAAATCAAAAGGAATAGATGATGTCGATGCAGATCTTGATTTGTGAACTATCGACAATATGATAGGAAGAACGAATCGTTCGAACCTCTATCGGATATTAATGCTACTCATGATCTACTGCATAAAGTCGCAGATGAAAATGTAACATGTGAGGAAGCAGCTCTTGAAGGCGACGTTCAAGTATTCGAGGAAGTTCAATGTGTTGAACAGCAAGTTGAAGAGGAATGTTATAGTGTTGATAGACTGAGCAAAGTTGATGGATATGATGAACAGTTATCAACCGAGAATGTAGGAAGCAGGAAAGGTGCAGATGATGAAGTTGTCAGTAATGAAGAACATGCACTGACTTGTGCTTTGGATAGTCATATTGCAAAGGGCAATGTGTGTGCCGATTGTCACACCTCCTTTTCTCTACACCTGTGAGGGTGCAAAGGAGTTTTTCCAATTAAAGGACAGTCGGAACATGATTTATTATTAATATTCAGAGTCGCCACTTGGGAGATTAATGGTGTCCCAAGTCACCGTTTGAATCCCGATCCGAGGAAATTATGACTCTGTTAACAGTCCGCGAACCAGAACTCCGAGTAAGGAATTCTATTAACCCGGGAGAAGGTATTAGGCATTCCCGGATTCCGTGGTTCTAGCACGATCGCTCAACTGCTGTATTTCTTTTATCTGATTTTAAAACATATTCTAACCTATATGCCCTTTAGTAGTAAACCGCTTTTATTGTTATTTTTAATAAGAATTACAACGTCGTGAAAATGCGTCTCGAACCACGTCGCACCAGTGCACCCGTGACTGTCAACACATTTCAACTTCGTTGAGA